CCCCCCACCCTGGACAGCCTTACGGGGGAGCTAGAGTAAGCGCTAAACACAACAAATAAAAAAAATGAAACACACTTAACACTAAGACTAATATGCACATTATTTCCAACATGAGAGCGTCATCATCGTCACCATAAATAAACATCATCTCCGTCACCATCACCATAACCATCTCCGTCACCATCACCATCACCATCATCATAATCATTATCATCACCATCATCATCATCATCATCATCATCATCATCATCATCATCATTATCATCATCATCATCATCATCATCATCATCATCATCATCATCTTCACCACAACCACCACCACCCCCGACTAATCAATTCTTGATTCGTTTTTCTAGAAAACAACAATTGGAACCATGCCAATACATTTTACGTAACCTACAAATAGCGTCACCAAAATCAGGACACGGGACAACAACAAAAAAAGAAAAAAAAAACTGTTTCAGGTGAAGTGCTGACTTTGGGTTGGGGGGGGGGGGAACTCTCGTGTATGTTAGCCTCTCTTTCAATAGGTCCCGTGTTCGAAACCGGACAGCAACGCGGATAATTTTCTTCTCTTAAAAATGTTCTCCTTTCACCTCCTTTCCTGCTCTCTAACCATATTCTGTCGCATGCTTTCATCTCTACTTTCTGCCCCCACTCCCCTCCCCCCTTTGTCTCCTCCTCTCGGATCCTTTCTGCAGCCTTACTTCTTCTACTCTTTGGCTCCTTTTTACTGCTGTCTTTCAGGCGCACCCTGATCTTAGGGTAGAAAAAATATAATTCCTAGCCTTCTTGAATAAGGGCGAAATAATCTCTGAGGTCCATTGTGCAAGTCGTGCACGTTAAAGATGCCTTGGTGGTCCTAAAATCGACCGCCACCCGAGCAAAATTTAAGATTAATTCCTACCAAACTGAAAATGCTTAATATGTCCCACGCACTCACATGACACTATTCAGTTACGAGCGCCGTAAAACACTTGCCCGAAAAAAGTGCCCAGCGTTTTCGTATTGGCAGAATAATGAATAAAGGCGATATACGCACGCCACGATTTTTCTAAACTGTTGCCTGTTCATTTGCCTTGCTTTGGTTGAAAAAAGTACTCTTCTGTCTTGAATAGAAGTCGAGGTATTTGCAATTGAAAGAGGTTGGGATCGCCTGGTTTCAGAGATAAAATTAGAGAGAAAATGGCGCCAAAGTTTGGTCACTTCCATAGCTTGAGAGTCCTTGAAAACTTTAAATTTACAGTTTTTGTGTCTTTAATCAACATTTTTGGTAAAATCCATAACGAAATGTGTTTTTAAAATGGACATAAAAGATGTTGAGCCCAAAAACCAAAATTTGATAAAATTTGCGAAACCAGCGGATAAAATGCCAGTTTCTTCCATTTCACCATTTTGACGAGTGTCTCATTTCACCATTTTGACGAGTGTCTCATTTCACCATTTTGACGAGTGTCTCATTTCACCATTTTGACGAGTGTCTGATTTCACCATTTTGACGAGTGTCTCATTTCACCATTTTGACGAGTGTCTCATTTCACCATTTTGACGAGTGTCTCATTTCACCATTTTGACGAGTGTCTCATTTCACCATTTTGACGAGTGTCTCATTTCACCATTTTGACGAGTGTCTGATTTCACCATTTTGACGAGTGTCTGATTTCACCATTTTGACGAGTGTCTCATTTCACCATTTTGACGAGTGTCTCATTTCACCATTTTGACGAGTGTCTCATTTCACCATTTTGACGAGTGTCTCATTTCACCTCAATGCCTCACTTCAATAGTGTTGACATTTGCGTTAAACCTGTACCATATTTTTGTCTCCAGTTTGTTGTCTCTCTGTACAACCCCCTGGGCTGGCCAGTGACAACCTGGCTCCGTCTGCCGGTGCCACATACAGGGCTGACCATCACTGACCACAGAGGCAGTAGAGTGTCATTTCAGGTGAGTTGAGATTGCTAGTGATTGCTAGACTCCTTGACATCTCATACAAAGACAACATTTCAAATGCTGAGGTACGGAACAGAATCACAAACGCAGTGGGGCAGCATGAAGAGATGAAAATTTAAATGGTTTTGGCATGTCATGAGATCCACAGGATTTGCCAAAACAATCCTACAAGGAACCGTACAAGGAAAGAGAAAGGGAGGAAGGCAGAGAAGGAGATGGGAGGAAAACATCACAGAGTGAAAAGGGAAGACGATGGGTGACAATTTGAGGAAAGGAGAGGACAAAGAGAAATGGCGAGAGCTGGTGTTCAGATGCAGTGGTGCCCCCACGGTTGCCCCAACCACGGGGTAGAAGGTAGAAGGCAAAAGAGCAAGTGGGGGACATAACAGAAGAAGGGAACAGGACAAAAAAAACTGGCTGGAAACCAAAACAACTCAGTTGGGCTGAATGGTAAAAGACAGGCGATTTTTTTGCAGGAAGACCCGAGGAGCAATGCTCTACTGTTACTGTTAGAAAGGCTAAGAAGGAGAAGAAGAAGAAGAAGAAGAAGAAGAAGAAGAAGAAGAAGAAGAAGAAGAAGGAGAAGGAGAAGGAGAAGAAGAAGAAGAAGAAGAAGAAGAAGAAAAAGAAGTGATTGCTAGTAATTTGTGGTGTCAGTGGCCTAGTGGTTAGGCTCTTGGACTCACAACCGTAAGGTCGTGGGTTCGAATCCCATTTGGGGCTCGAAGTTATATCCTCAGGAAAGGCACTTGTGTACAACTGATACTGTTTTATAATGAAAACTTTTTTATAAAACAACACGATTTTTTAATGTTATTGTCATGTGTGTTATTGACATTTTATATGTCTGTTTTCATGGAAGTCTCGTATGTAAAATGTCTTATGTGATGTGGGCCAATGGCTTTAGATACTGAAAAAAACACCAATCTATCTACCTACCTACCCACCTACCTACCCACCTACCTACCTACCTACCTACGCACCAACCAACCTACATACCTACATACCTACCTACGCACCAACCAACCTACCTACCTACATTCCTACCGACCTACTTACGTACCTACCCACCTACCTACCTACCTACCTACCTACCTACCACCCTGCCTACATACCGACCTACCTACGTACCTACCTACTTCTATTTTTAACACACACCCCCCTCCTCCGCCTCATTTTCCTCTCAGCTCTGCCCTGTGCCAGAAGGTGTCATGAAGATTCCAGAACGGAACAGCCACACAGACACGGAAGTCGTGTTTCCAGCTCTGTTGCCTCCGATGTCCGTTACTCCTTTCCAAGTCAAGATAGAAAGAGGTCGGTATTTTGATTCATTCAAATGTCAGCTGAAGTCGTTTCTGTTTTTACATTAATAAGATGAATATTTGGAGTGATTTTCTTTTAGTCAGAGCACAACGTTTTATGTTACTGTTGTATTTTGTACTGTATTTTAAAGCTCTCAGAGCCCGTGTACTTTAATCGCGGTTGAGCGCTATGTAAATGTCTTTTTTTAATTATTAT